GAAAAGGCCTAGCAAAAAGAGGGAAGCAACATTTTAGTGGAGTAGACAGAGCTAATTGTTCTGATTATAAATTCTGTATTGTACTCAGGCAAATATAATAGCCGTTTATTACCCGCCTTGCTTTTAAATCCTCCGCTCCCTTTGCAGTTTATACTTTTGCCTGGCTTGGCTCATCTTGAAAAATAATAGTGACAATTCACCATAAAGCACCAACTACACCTTTGACAGTGACAGTACTGTTATAATTTATTCAGTATCCCGAATCCAAGAAATTAAAGTACCATAGAAAGCTGCCCGACTCTTAGCACTGTGATTTTTGCAGACAAATTCTGGTAGGTATGGGAGCATCAGTGACCCCAGCAGTCTGCTCCCACCACTGTGATGGAGGTGCATTCATCTGTCGCATTCATATGGACCCACCTGCATGAGGACAGGGAGATGGAGGAGCAGACAGAAAACAAGGGAGGCATGACATGTTATCCCGGTATTTGCCAGAACTCACTCGCCAACGTCTAGAAGCACAGAGAAGTTACAAAGCATTAGATCTGTTACGTTCATGCCCCAGGCATCGGGTGCGGTCCCTAAGCGGAGAGGTGGGGGTGCTCTCTCTCTTTATATCACCCTCTCTTCATTAGTTCCAGAAAGATGTTTTAAAAATATCTGTTCAAAGAACAGGAAAACCATTTCCCCGCCCGTTTCGGATTCTAAGTGATGTTTCTACATTACTAAGTCAATTCAAGATCGGCCATACAAAGTGCTATTAGTGTAATGCCTGATAATAGTTTAGAGCAGCAGAAGGTGCTTTAATGCAAATATCATGTTGCAGGAAGTGGGGTGCTTTACAATAGCTGCTGTGTTGCTGCTGAGATGTAGACCGTTATTTTCTTGATTAGCGAATGTAGTGTCTGCATTTTTCTTTGAATCAGTAAAGGAAACCAGAAATGTAGCCACCAAGCTTTGGGAACTGTACTTTCTTATATATTGCTGATATGATAAAATATGTTAAAAATTAGGCAATAGGCTTTAACTGAACTCTCTATAACTTTATTTTGCAGATCATAAGTCTAAACCCATTGGGTTGAAGGCATATAGAATGTTATTGGTAAAGTTAGCGCCTTTAAAAATGAAAAGTGCTTTCAAATTTGCACTGAATTTAATGGCAATTTTATTTCCTTTCAAGATGTTAAGCTTGTTCCTAATAGATGCTGCCTGAAAGAAAAGTTGCAGTAGTGGCCAAAATTTGACTGTGTAATTTTCATCGAAGTAATTTCCAGATGTGTATGTACATATATATGAGTACGTGTATATTTTTAGAAGCCAAATTATCATAGTGTCAACATGTGTGAAAATCCCAGTTTATGGCAAGACCTGTGTGGTGGCAGACCTGTTTTCTCCTTCATTCCCCACTCAAAAAGCCCCCTATTTTTCTGAACAGAAAGAAACATTATCGCAGTAATGGGCCATTTTGCTTCCTATCCAGACATTCTTTATTCCCTGTGATGTTTTAGCACTTGTGTTGTGTGCCTTTAACCTTTAAGACTGTATATGCTCGCTCTCTCCCTATGCCTGCTGTGTTTTTATTCCTACTACCTCAATTTCATTACTTTCTAATATACTGTAGTATCTGGCTTTGATAACTCTCTCTTCCAAAATCAGCAATGACTTCTTCTTGGCTACTTCACAACGGTGAAAATTTTCAAAGTAACTTAATCTTCTAAATTAAATCTGCTTGATTTATTTATTTTTAAGGCCTTTTGTCTGTCTTCATCCTTCTTGATTTGTCTCCTGCTTTGTCAGCGTGGGAACCATTAGCACCTGAGTTCCTCCAAGATTTAAGAGTTTTCTTATTCTGACCTTACCTCAGTGGTCTTCCAGTGGTTCCTGTGAGACTTCCTTTGTCATTGTATTATACAATTTCTTCTTGTCTGTGGAGAGTTTAGCATATTCAGAGTGATATATAAATAATAATATTAGGGGCAGCGAGCATTAATTTAAAAAAAAGGTAATATGTAATAGAAGAAAAGATTCTGACTTTGGTCGGCAGGAGAAAAGATACAGGACTTTGAATGTGACTATATGCAGTGAGATAAGATTACTAGTAAAATCCAGATTTACAACGCTGGAAAATAGTTTTAGGGCCAATTAAATCCATTTTAATTTTGATTATGTCTGGACACAGGTTCAACTGTTTTTAATGAATGCACTCTAAACATCCCACCTAAGTTAGTTAATCATAACTTTCATCATAAGCATCCATAAGAAAGCATGCCTTCTGTGTAAATGCAAATAAGAAGCTGTAGGAAGTCCTTCTCAGTTTAGAACAAGCAAGAACAGCTATACTGAGTTAGCGTAAAGCTCATAAAACCACACTGAATCAAAGTAGTATAATAGCAGTAGCAGGTACTCAAGAAAGGAGTATAAGCAGCAGAGCATGTACAGTGATTCTTCCTCTTGCGTAACTTCCCAACGTTCACTCATTGTTGGATTTTGAGGACTTGCTAAGTTGATAAGCATTGTCGATATTTTTTGCATATAATGCATTTTGTCTTTTTTCATGTTATCATATACCTTCTTGAAGTTTGTTGTTAAAAATATGTACATCAAAGAGAATATGTAGTTTAATCATCATGTTATAGATGCTGTATTTATGAATATGTATGTCTTCCAACTTTCCACTTTATTTTTATAGCACTAATAACAATTGATCCTGCATTCACGTGATCGTCAGTATATAATTTAACTTTTAGACTGTTGAAATGCTCTCAACTTTATTAAGTTTATTATGCTCTGAATTTAATAAGAAGTTGGGATATAGAAATTTCTGGTATGTTTACGTGCATTAGTTAGCAATGTTTGGTGACGTGATTTGATTGCCCATATATGGGTGTGTGGTACCCCTTGAGATGGCCTTTGGTGTCCCACCTGGCTTATTTATAGCTGCTGTTCTGGGTGCTGTGGTCCTCTGTCATATTTACCTGCCCTGTGCCGATGCTTTGGATACCAAAGGGCATCTCCGTTGGCACTAGATGTGTGAACAACTGAACTAAGTGCCTTGATTTTGGGAGGGGAGAGTGCGGGGGACGCAAAGGGGATTTCTGTGATTAGTAGTATTAAAGACATGAGTAATATAAATAAATATTACTTGAAGAGATCAAGATTGTCAGGAGTCTTCAGCAACAAATGCCGCTGTTGTTGCTCAATGGCATTTCACAACATCTGGTTACAGGTTAGCATCCGTAATGAGCATGGGGGAAGGACAGATGCAGAGTGCAGAGTTTTGGGTGGACTTGTCCTTACTTAATCCATATTATAATGTCATGCTATATAATAGGAAATAATCTGGTGGGTGTATTTGCCCAAATAAGATTTCTGAGTCCACTGAAACCTGGAAATTCCAGCAGAATGCTGATTGTTGTTGGAGCCAGGGTTAAATTATGATTTAATGGCTTTTCTGGGCTTCATTTGATGACCTGGCCTAGAAAAACATTTTGAAGTAATAAAGCGTCTGTTTGGCTCCAAACTAATGAGAGAAGCATTGCTCTTTGCATTAACTGTTCTTTAGGAAGAGCCACAGAGAGCTACTAATAAACCTTATTAAAAAGCTTAAGCAAGATTGAAGGAAATAGAAAACAGAGGAACTATTCCATTCCATGTGAAGTGAGTACATCAAAAAAAAAGGAAAAAAAAAAAGGCTAAAAAAAAAAGCAAGCCCACAGGGTTTTTGCCTCTCCTCCATGTGACTTGCAGCTTACTGCACTTCAGTTGCCTCTGAGATATGTTAAAGTGCAGCTCGGTTTAATGAAGAAGTGGATAGGACAAATCAAGGCTAGAGACTATTTACGGCGGAGGTTGGGTAAGTAAATGCAGCTGTAGAGAAGTGTTTACTAATATTGTGCAAATGTTACAGTATCTAGTCTGTAGCATTTAAAACAATATTCAGAGCTATAATTTTTTGGTGGTCCTTTCTTTGTTTTACTTAAGTAATTCGCAAGTGTGAGAGGTACGTACCATGCAGTAGATTTATGCATAAGACTGATAAAGGATTTAATTTTATTTTTCAGACTTCTGACAACAAAACAAATAACTTTCCTTTAATTTCATGTACTTACTTTGTTTTAAATTCTTTGCTATATAAGTAACGAACTGCTTTGTCTATTTTAGTGTAGTGCTCAGAATAATTTCAGTGGGAGTTAGCTGATAGTTTCTGGTGCCTTCCTGTTATTTTAATTATTTTTCTACTGGTGAAGGAGAGGGGAAAACAGCTTATACTCTGAACCTCCTAGATACAGCATTTTCAGATTTCTAGAATCCAACTCCAGACCATTGAAAACTCCCCAGCATCAACTTGTTCCAGGAATTCATTCAACCATCCTAGTAGGATAAGATTTCAGCTGTTTGCTTTTGTTCTCTGTGTCTTTTTATAAAGATTTGTATGTGTTCTTATACAGAGTTTTATATCGAAAGTTCTGTTTTAAATTTATGTATGTTTACATTTGTGTAAATCTAATATCAATATACAAGATGGAGAAATATGATGAAAGCTTTTGTTGTTTTTTAAGACTTCCAGGCTTTTGATTTTGATATGTTTTTGTCTCAAGCAATTGGAATGGACCTTGCAGTTGCTATAATGCTGTTATGAAATTGGATTGCAATCTTAGTCAATTAGTAATTTCCAGAACGGTTGTTTTAGCAGTTTCAGTGCCTGCCATTTGAGTATTTAAATGTCAGTGCATAGACAAAGAGCTGAGAGGGAGGAATGATCAATATAGATTGTAAAGACCTATACCGAAGCCTGATTCGAATCTTGGGAACTGGAAAAGGAAAAGCAAACTGCTTCATTGTTGGTAGTGTATTAAAGAAAATATTTTTAAGCGTTTAATATCTTGTAATCTAGGGCGTGTCTTCCTTTTGCATCATCTCGCAGGAAAGAGTATGTTAAATATTATAGCCTATCATGATTTTTACTATCTGGATTAATCAGAATGTGTTATCTTTTTCAGATAATCACTCCGTTTAGGAGGCTAATATTGTGTGCCGAGAACAGAAAAGAAATGGAGGACTGGATAAGCTCTCTGAAGTCCGTTCAGTCCAGAGAACACTATGAGGTAAGTTGACATCCCTCTTGGTGCAACCTGTTCTAGCTCAACAGATCAAGCTACAGGACACAGAACTGGAGTATTCACCCTCCTTAGTGTGAATAGTGTGTCTAATGTCAGAGTAAAGCTTTATGTTAAAACCTTTACTAGCGAAGTGAGAGCATAAGCTCACACTTTTGTTTAGAAGTTTGGAGGGAGAGCAGGCTAAATACCCCTTGGAAAATACTTTTGGTGAACATTGCACTGTCGTCCCCTGTAATATGGAACCGTAGGTAATTTCAGTCACCGTAGCTGTGTTCTGTACTTGCAAATTTGTCTTAACTTCTCCTTTACTAGACCGCACAGTTTAATGTGGAACATTTCTCAGGGATGCATAACTGGTACGCCTGCTCCCATGCCCGACCTACCTTCTGTAATGTGTGTAGAGAGAGCCTCTCTGGAGTCACTTCTCACGGCCTGTCTTGTGAAGGTAAAATAAACGCTTTTTTCCTCCTGTTTGTAATGCTGTGTATGTAGACAGATGGCTAAAAGTTTAAGACGAGTAATGATTCTGAAAATAATGAGTAAGAAAAAAGCCTGAAGAGAGAAATCTATTCACTAGAGTGACTTTCTTTTGGGCAGAGGGACTGCTAATGATCTGGCTCACCTTCTTTGTGGCTCCAGGTGCCTTTTTCTATCTCATCTCAATAAAATGGTTCCTTCTGCTGCAGCGACCAGTTTGGAATGTGCTGGGTGGACGGTTTGCAAGAAAAGATAGGATTTATTTGATTTGCCCGTCAAAAATGTGAAACAAGATAGTCTTACTGGTTTGCGGAAGCAGCATTCCTCAGGAAAAAAATCATAATGGTAGTTTCTGCCCAAAAACTATAAAGATTCTTAACACTTTGTTCAGCCCTGTGACCTCTTCCCCTCCAATTCTTGTTTGCTCTGTTGCTGCTGCCTGATCCTGCAGTACAGGCAGGACAGATGAGGACAGATTTATTGCTTTAAAAATTCTCTCATGCAGTGAGGGGGTAGAGATGTAGATGCCTTTGCATTTTGATGGTTCAACAGATGAAATTCAGCACAAAGAAAAAGAAGGTGTGTCTAAGACTTCAGCATTAAGTTTATCTGGAGAAATGATATTTCACGAGCAAATATTTATAATAAACCTGAAACAGCTTATTTATTTTCTGCTGCAAGTTCTGTGAAAAAGTGGTAACAAGTCTGCTTATGTTAGAATCCAGCAGAAAATAAAGCATCCGTGTGACCTTATGATATACATGAAATGTAGAGATATTTAATTACCAAAATAGCTAACTGTCCAGAAGAGAATTAGTTACACCATTCAAAACTTGATTTTTTTGATGCGTGTTGCCCAACTGCAAATGCATTTCTGTTATTGATGCTCTTATAATACTTGAGGTCTGAGCATAATAATGTGTATTAGGGAAATCTTACAGAGGAAACATTAACCCACTGTCCTGAGTTGTCCATGCTTTTAATGTAGCTAATGGTGCAGTTGCCAAGGAACGGGACGAACCCGTTTCACAGAAATTAGAAGTAGCATAGTTACTTCCAGCTTCTCTGGTGTATGTTTTCCACTGCGTATAAGTCGTTTGGACAGTTTTAAGGCAATTATGGAATTTTCAATGTCTGATATTGGCAGATGGAAGTATCATGTGCTTAACTAAAATGCGGTTGTATTGCCTCTGTGTACAAATACAGTTAAATTTGCTCAGCAAAGGGAAGGAAGGACTACTTTCCTTTCATAAAGAATTTATCCTTTCATAAGTTAATATTATAGCTATTTTAAAAGGCTGTTTAGCAAGAATTATAAGATTATCAGTGTTAATGGTTGTGGTTCATCGTTTTCTGGTTTTTCAGTGTCTTATTTTGCTTCTAAGTATGGTTTTAATTTCCAAGGTGTTGGCGTTAACTCTACATTAAGGATGTTTCCTTAATTTCCAGATGTGGACTTTGTCACCTTTCTGCATAACTTATTACAAACCAATGCTATATTTATCCACATTTCTGATGCCAGTTGACCTTTCAGCAGTTTTTATGAATGGCTTGTGAAGGTAGTTTGGATTTGCTTTCACTGGTCCACAGTTTCATAAACGTGTATGACCTGGATTGGTTTATATGTAGATACTATGATATTCTTTTATCTATTAACTAGTTTACCTCCTCTTACTTCTTAGCTGCTAGTTTATATCTATTTTCTTTATTTTTTTTCCAAGTATTTTTTTAAATAAAGATACTTGAATTATGCATCTAATCTAAATCATTTGACAGTTGACTCTCTTACTGGAATACTCATACTTTGTCCCTGATTCTGTATACCTGTAAAAACCCAAGTTAACCATCCTTAATTTCTTCATCTAAGAAGTGTATTTTGGTTTGATACTACTTCTTTCTCTGAAACTCTTATGTGACTGAGTTCATATTTACTTGCTTCTGCCATGTGCACTTCTAGTGCATTTCACCATCTGTTTTTCTGACTTACCCTGTGTTAGCAATATACAGTTTGAGGAGATGATGTAGGAAGTATGGAGTCTTAAGATTCCCCAGATATGTTCTGTGCTACTTTTTCTCATTACATCTTTAAAAAAACTGTTTAAATATTCATGCCTGGCATCTGAAACCTCCAGTACTGCTTTACGCTGGGAATCCATTTATATCTATACTAAATTCAATTATTTGTGTGGTCATTGATCCCAGGCTACTCTATTATATCTTGTACCGAGAAGCATGAGAGGCTTCTTCTCAAGAGATATTGGAGCTCTTCCTCCTCTCAGTGGTTTGGGTTACTGGCACACCAAGTTGTCTTGAAAGTAGCTTAGCTTTGTACTCTTTGTGGTCTGATTCTTGACTGTTAACCCTAGGTAAAAATAAAAATAAATCCCTTTGCTGATATTTTGCAGCTTACAATACTTTAGAAGATCGATCCTGTAATATTTTATTCTCTTAGACCTGCTGGTTTCCAGCAGCGCTACACAACTGTTTTTTTCAGCCTGACCACACAACAAGCCTCATTTCTTTTGGAGATAAGATGGGTGCCTTCTTTTTTCAGGGCACCTTTCCTCCCAGTAGCCTTCAGCAAAGGTTGTCCAAATTAATTGCAGGTCACCCTAAAGATATTCCTCTAAGTTTTGTGGAAGCCAGTGTAGGAAAAGAGCGTGTATTAATACCTTTGCTAGGGAAAAGACTGTAGTGTGAACTTGCGTCTTTTTAGAAGTCAAAGGATCGATATGTATATCAAACTGAAGATGAAAATCCATATCAAGCCAGGCTTTATTCTTTCTACTGCTCAAAAAACAATTTACTTTTAAAAAATTTAATCATACTCTCCTTTGAGATGCAATGCTATTCCTCCCGCTGGTTCCTTCTTTTCTGTCTTCTCAAAGATAATCTACTTTTCAAATGTTGTCTGTATGTTGTGCTGCTGTAGCTAGCTCTAAAGGACTTATCTGCAACATTCATCCACAGTCTTTACTATGACAGAGAAATTATGATTTTTTTGCCTTGCTTTGGAAATTACTCCAAACTAGCTGAACCAAGTAAGGCTTTTGTTCTTTATGCTCCTCAAATGTTTCTCTTATTCAGAGTTTGGCTTGCTCTCTGCTCAGGAGTCTAAGCCTAAGAAGTTGTCAGGTAAACACAGGGATACGTGGAATGTTTAGGCAAAGCAACCTAAAGAACTATAGATCATTATCTACACAAACTCTTTCAAAACTCTCTAGCCTCAATTACTCTGTATTAATACTGCATTTCTATCCAAGTCATTGCCAGCAGAACACTGCCTTTATGATTATTCTCAAAGATGTATTTCTTCATGTAATGTTTTCATTATCATGACTGAATCTTGATTGTTGAATATCAAACATACCTAATAAGCTGGAGATTGCAGTTTAAATGAGATGCTTTCTCCTGTGATGAATTGCACAAACAAACAATATTGAAAGAACACTTCAGGATCGTGAAGTCAAGCAATAAGAAAATACTGGGATTAAATTGCCTCTGCAAATGCACTTTGTGCACTTGGTCTTTTTTCATTATGATTGGGTTTTTTTGCCCACAAAACCCTGTTGTTCTTACCCACTGTACAGGGTATTGTACATGCACTACTTGGGTAGTCATTGTCTCCAGGATTTTTGCAATATTTTCTCCACAGGCTGGAGAGTGAATAGTGAATGAAGCAGTGAGGAAGGGAAGGGATGCCCACTGTTAAAGAATTAAAGAGTAATAGAAAACTGTGTTCTGTGACTTTGTGTCACACTGTACCCCTCTGTAATCCTGGGGAAATCACTTAAATAAGATTTTTGATCAAATCAGCAGTGTGTGTTGTTTATAATCTGGGACCTGTATCACAGAAATGCTGAGTTTTCTATAACTGCAAAAGTCAGTTGAAGCTGTTCTGAAGTCACTGATACTTTGAAGATACACAGTATTGAAAAAAAAAGTCTTAATTGTAGTAGTACTGAGCGTAATAATGATAGTAATTTTAAAAGGCCAGGAAGAAATGTGTATTAATGTCTAAAAAGCAGTATTTCCTTAGCTTTTGGTAAATAAGGCAAATACCTGTTGAAAATAATTATTATGAACCAGAATACGGCACAGCCGTTGCATGCAGTGAATGAGGGTCCTATTCTCAAAAAGTGTATGATCATATAACTGAAGACTTTATACCTGCATATGGAAGTTATATTGCAAAGCTGTATTGCAAAGTTAAGTTGTATGAGTAACTTAACTTTGTAGTACTTGACTTTGTAATGTGAGTATTCTTTTAGCACTCTGTAATATTAAATTAACTTAGTTATTTATTTGGGTGAAAAGAGTAAAAACTACCAAGAAACGGCTAAATTTTATCCTTTATAACATAGACGTAAGCTTCAAATTGGAGTGAAGTTAGGTTGCTGTTTTCACGTGAGTCACTCCGTTTTCACTGTGGCTTGTCCATCTATCATGTGATGGTACTCTTGGAAACAAAACAGCAGGTTTCTTGGCATACCTGAAGACAAATCCTTCCATCCTGACAACTTAAACTATAGATACCAGCTCAGGGATCTTCAGATCAGTTTCAAAACTTTGGCTTTGGCCTTTGAAGTTGGAAAAGAACAGTCTGAGCCAGTTCTTCTTTGAAGAACACAGAAGAGAAAACTCATCATAAAATAGGTGGTAGAGTGGTAAGTTTGGGGAAAAAAAAATTGAGTGTCCTGCCAATGTAGTTGAATTAACTGATGGGTGGTTAGAATGAAAGGCCTTTGAGACAGAAGTGTTCTATAACAAAGCTGTATATTTTCAGTGCAAGAGATCCTATGATAATGTTCAGTAATGTTGACTTTTCTTCATTATAGATAATAATAGCTCTAGATTTAATCTGGGTCTGACAGCAGGTGTTGGTACCACTGTGACAACTGTTTGCTAATTAAGTGGTTCTCTTGGTTGGCTTTCTGAGAGACCTGTTTCATATTCCAGCTAGAAACAATTACACAGGAAATTAAAATTTAAAATAACGTTCTACGAATATTCTAGATTGGGTTTGGCTGAATTTTTCCTTTTCTAATCTTTTAACTTTCATTGGCGAAGTACTGAAAATTGATGTCTAGCAGTATGTCTGAATGTTTCCAAAAGATTTCAGATATCAGACTGATGCATGAATGGGATGCAATGTCACCTGAGGCAAAAGAAGTTAGGTGGTGGTGGTAGTGGTAGCTAAGGTTGAGATTTGATGTAAAATTTTCCTTTCTATACCCGACTCTTCTGTATGCTATGTATTTTGCTTGAAAGTTACATCTGTGTCTTAAGGTCATTGTTTTTTGGTAATGTTTAGCTCAGAGTAACATGAATTGTTGTTTGGTGATACCAGGGTTGCAGGGGGGTGACCCACAGAAAGTCTGATCTGAGATTGGTAAATTATATACTGTACCCACAAAGCAAACATTAGCTGTCACTTGCCATCCATGGTGTGGATGGCAGCTCTTCAGATCCTGGGTTTGAATTTGTCCTTGCCTTGTTGAGAGAGCAGAGGTTGAATACACTGTCCTGAGATCTAGTTGAATCATAGCTCAATAGGATTTGAAAATTCCCTTACTTTCTTATGCCTTTGTAATTTGGAATTTCCTATTGCCCCTCACCCCTGACTTGTTGTATTTTGATCTGTGTGGCAAAGACAAATGCGTATCATTTATGAGTAGGAAGCTGAATTCAGTGGCATGGCTTCTCCAAAACATTCAAGTGGCAAAGCTGCTCAAGGCCCGTCACTTGAAAATGCAGCCTTTATTTCTGTGCTTCTGTGAGAGCTGACTTCTTGAGACGCTTGGAACCAGCTTAGGTTGGCAAACACACAATATGATGCTGAGCTGTTTTGAAAATGTGAGCCTACCCCGTTAGCTGAGGAATATGGGATATTTGCACACTTTGGGTCTAGGAATGCTGCTTTTCGAAATGATCAGGGGAGTTACTGTAAAAGCAACAAAACTCCTTTTTCTGTTTCCTTCTCTTTCTTTGAGCTAAGCACAGACTTTCACGCATCTCCCGGAACGGTGAGGATTGCTCTCACACTCATGTTGCTTACATAGTCTCAATTCACTTTTTAAATTGATCTGGCAGTGGATCAGTGGAATTAAAATGAGAAATTTATGATTCACAAGACCTTTTGTACCATGGCTTAATGTTTTTTAATGGTGGACAAGTGGTGGGCCAAAGCTTTTGATAGTTTCCTGTCAAATATTTGTTTGAAAAGAGACTACTATTTCTGGTCTGCTGGCTAGTTCTCATAAACCTTTAATGGTCTTTGCCAAAATAATTTATATAATGCACTCTAAATAGAATGATGTCATGCACTTCCAGTAACAGAAATACCCACGGTTAGGTGCGTCAGTCTGGTCTAATATGATGTCATTAACTAGTCATATTAATTGAGTTGAACAAAATACAAATAGTTATTAGATTGTCAGAATGTCTGCCTGTGCTACACACTTGTGCTGAGTATTCCAATTAGTAGATTGTTAATAAATAATCCAGTAAGAAGTCATGTTCTTCCTCACTTAATATAACCTCTTGGAAAATATTGTAACCACCAGTATCCTGAATAAATATATCACCACCTAACCCTTCATTTTCTCAGCTTCTGGGAAAACAGGCATAGTATGGTGCCCAAAAGGGATCCTTTAAGCAAAGAAACAGAGCTCCTAAAGCAAAATATTTCTGTGAAACACTCTCCCATCACCTCTTGCAAATTTAAACCAGGTATCTGAGTTGTGTCACTGGAGGAGTAGAAAAGGCAAAAACACAGTTAAAGATATATTTGTACCTTAGTGCTTTGCATTGACCTGAAAAATGGGGACCGATGTGGATTTGAGGACACACTTAACATGGGCTACAGCTAAGCAGTTAAACTTAGTTTAGAGCGTTAAAGCTGGAGTGATTATGAACCGAATTTTCTTTTAGTTGGGTTGTGTCATGGGTGCAACACTAAGTGACATGTATTTGGCTGTTTTATGGAATATCCGTGTTTAATTTTTTTAAAGATACGTATCACTGAAATAAATACAGCAAATAACATAGTATACATGTTTATGTGTGCCTTCCAGTGTGTAAGTTTAAAGCACATAAAAGATGTGCTGTCCGAGCAACAAATAACTGCAAATGGACTACATTAGCCTCAATTGGAAAAGACATCATTGAAGATGAAGATGGTGTAAGTACTATTCATATTTACAGTATTTTCCAAAGCTGTTTCTTCTTTATGGGGAAGAAAAAAAAAGGCTAAGCGTAAAAATATTGCCATGTGACCCATTGAAGTTAATGGTAGGTGGCTATATTCCCGAACATTTTTCAAAGATTAAGGTGATATTTAGAACAAAAGTTATATTCCTGTCTCACAAGACAAGTTTAGTATCTGTGGGCACTAGATTGCAGCGTGCTACAAGATTTTAAAGGCCACAGGCAGAGAAACTCCAAAGCTGGAGAATTGCTCCCAGAAGTTCTTACTGCTCTTAGGCAAAGGTGGTATTTTATGCTGTTACTGTGCTGTTTTGCCAATCTGTTTTGTGTCCTCCTTACCGATAGCTGTTCCCCAGGAGGCCTGTTTGGAATTCACTGACGTGTGGGAGATTTTTTACTGATGAAAGCCGGAATTTTAAAATTAGCAGGAGAAATGACAAAAGCTTTTCGGAGTTTTATTGTGACAGATGGGTTATTTTTACAAATACAACTACGTATGTGCCACTGGCATGAAAATTCTTCCTAGAAGGTGAATTGCACACCATGAGTGTCATTTCATCTATACTTGGAGTTGCTCGTCGTATTAATGGGACAAAGGTGTGCACTGAGTAAAGCTTTGCACTGCATTTAGGGACTGCTTTATAGAGCTGCGACTTACCAGCTATGGTGAGGGGGTACATAAAGCCACAGAGGTATTCTGCTGTCCTGGCTATTCTTCTGAATTTTAGTTATTTTAATTGGTTTGTGTCATATAGTCAACATTAAGTGAATGGGTACTTATCTGTATTACGGAGTCTCTAGATTTAACTGCCCCATTGTTTTGTGGTTAGTTGCTACCATAGTACCATGAATAGTTGAATGAGATGTGTCTCCCTTCTTCAGCTGTCACATTTTCTGCCTAGCATGTGAAAAACCACCATAGTCCATGTTCATAGCTGTTGCCTTGCGAGCATCAGCGTCACTTATCCTTGTCAGCCATACCTGCTTCTTTGATGAAAGGGTAAAGCTGTGGGAAAATCCACCTCTATTTGAGAGACAAAAGCCTTTAATTTCTATTTCTGAGTATTTAACTTTTATGACTACTTCTTCACAGATAGCTATGCCTCACCAGTGGTTAGAGGGTAATCTGCCCGTCAGTGCCAAATGCGCAGTCTGCGACAAGACTTGTGGCAGTGTTTTACGCCTGCAAGATTGGAAGTGCCTTTGGTGTAAAGCTATGGTAGGTGCAATGAACCACATCCAAGCGTCTAGGATTTTGCCAGCTTTATTGCTCATCATTATTTTTATTTTGTCATTTCATAACCGTGCTTTTGGGTTAAGTAGGAGCAGGCAGCTTGTGCAAACTCAGGTCTCTCTACCGTTCATAATTCCTCATGACCGTCCTACTTGCTTCAGCTAATTTTTAATATGCCCACAGATGCAGCTTTTCTTTAATAGGTGTTATCATCCAATGTGTTTTCTCTGCCTTCTCCTGACTGATAACTGAAAGTTCAGATGCCTGTTCCATATGCCTGATAATCATACGTTAATTTCTTGTCTCTTTGATTGTAGATATTGCTGTAATAACATTTTAGTAATATTAGTAATATTAATATTTATTAATATTTATTAATAACAATGTAGTAATATTTTTATTACTGCAAAATCTTGAAGTTCTCTTCTTCAGCACATTCTGTAGGTTGCTGATTGAAATTCTATAACGTGCTAT